CAAATTCTTCCATCTCTGAACACCTCATTTGGACTCGGTTTAACTTATTCTTCTCTGAGGAGCCTCTTTCCTAGCTTGTTTGAGGTAGCTCCATCCTCTGTCCATTGTTTCTCCCAGACCCTTCCTCTTCCCCCATCAGAGTGCTTGCATATTACTACATATTACTTTTTGCTCACTCTTTTAAGGGCTGTGTCCCCCACTAGACTATGGTGTATGGATGCCATGACGGTCTGTACAGTTTCTTGCTGAGCATCATACCTTGTGTGCTGTTGCTCATTAAAGACTTTCCAAGTGAATGATTTCTACGAAGTCGTTTCTTTCTTCAAGGTCTGTTCTTGAACATTTCTGGTTCACACAGTTGGTTCTTTCCTGAGTCCTACCCTCTTCCTGTGACTTTCCACTGGTGAGGTGTGGCAAGGTGGCTAGGAATTCTAGCTATGAGTCAGGCAAGCATGGGTTAATCACCTACCAACTGTGTGATGGAGAGGAGTTACCTACCCTCTATGAACCTCAGTTTGCATATTTGTCCAATGGTGAGAATAATGTCCAGCTGAAATACTGGGTACCAGGATAAAATCTAACACCTTATAAGTAATTAACACAGTTCCTTGAACTTAGTACACACCAATCCAGGTGACTTATCATTATTATTCTCAGTGAGACAGCCATTTATAGATAGTGATATATAGATCACTATGGCACAGGTAATGATTACATCAGAACTTCCCTGCCTCCACCTGTGGTAGAATGGCTGGGATCACAGGGAGTAAACGTTAATTAATGATTTAGTTGAACTCTGAGGAATAGCTCAGTGTCTCAGATTGCTTATCTTCCAAAAAAAGAAGCTGGTAGGGGTGTGGGCATGCTTGATTTTTTAACACCATTCATGGGTTCGCTAGTGTGTATATGCCCACTGGAAGGGACTTGATGATTGTTCCCATTCAGAAGGACTGAGCTTCAGGTAATGCTCATGGCTTGCACAAGTAGGTGGGGTGGTGTCTCAGGAGACAAAGCTGTCAGGACCAAGTGACCACTTCTCTGATATCAGCAGGTGTGAGGAATTAGGAGATGGAGGGAGGTGGAGCGGGGGAGCTTTAGTTGAAGAAATGACTTCCCAGATAGGGAGTGTTGCAACCATTGGCAAGGTCAAGTCCTAGGTGACTTGGGCCTTTGTTAACCAACAAAGCAAATGAGCATTCAGGTGCCGAATTGAGGAAATCCTGAGAAGAGGAACTGATACAGGGATGTAAAGAATGAGATTGGGTCCCCAGAGATGACAGGCAACAAAGTATGGTCAGATTTTTAGGGTCAACTGTCCTTTTGAATTCTCTGGGGGCATTTTGGACTTCCATGAAAAGCAATTGTTTTCTAGGCTTTAAAATAACTTTCATTTGTTCATTTTAAATGCTGTATGACGTATATAGGAAAGGCCTCGTCGGCTGTTTCACATGTATCCGAGTAACCCCCTCATCTCTTTGCAGTGCTGTGGGTACTTGAGATCCTTTTCTCACATTGTAATCCCTTCACTTCTTCTAATAACCCTTTTGGTAGTGTTTGTTATTATTATTAAATCTGTTTTGCAGCTGGGGATACTGAGGTCCAGAGAGGTTGGGTAAGTTGCCCAGGGTCATGGAAATAGCAACTGGTAGAGCCACTAGGTTTTATTTCAAACAGCAGGCTATCAGGGCTGGTCCTGCTAAATAGCACACATACGTGGTATAGGGTTAGCTTAAGTATCCAGTGGCTTTGTGGATGGGGCTAGTTGTGGAAGTAGTGACCTTTCTGTCCCCCATGAAGCAACTTGTGACTTGTAACTTGAAGGGAACAAAACTAAGTTCTTTCTCCAATGTGAACTCACACCCTTGCTACTCCATCGGGTGTCTGGAGCTGCCCACCCCCTCATACTTATCTGAGTAGGTGGACTCTTGCTTCTCTCCAGGAAGGAGTTGATTGTCATAATAAATCTTGTAATGCAGGGTGGGGAGACATTCTGTCTGTAGATGCCAACAAGTCTTGTGACCATAGGCGATTATGCAAGATTAAGTGACCTTTACCATGGAATGTAAAAGTACATGTTTGTATATTCTCCACAGCCACTTTATGAAGCAGGCATGTTACTTCCTCCTTGCTGTGTGACTCATCTGAGGCCCAGAGAAGTTTAGAGACTTGCTTAGGAATAATGTGATAAGGCTCAACAGGGGATTTAAACTAGATAGTCTTGCTCCAAAGCCTGTGTGCTTAAATATTATACTAAGTTCATTTTGATAAGTGATTGCCATATATCCATCTACCCATCCATTTATGAACCTACCTCTCTGCCCATCCATTCATCTGTCATCCATCCATCCACCCACTCATCCATCCACCCATTCATCCATCCATCCATCCATCCGTTTGTTCTATCTATCCATCTGTTCATCCATTCACCCACCTACTCACCCACCAACCTACTCACCCATTCATCCATCCATTGTGTTGTCTGTCTGTCTAATATGGTCCTTTGCTTTATCTGGGGAAGAAACTCCTCCACTGCACATGATAAAAGCGAGAGCACACAAGGGAGGGGTGAGGATAGATAGGTAAGACACCTAAAAAACTGGCTAGCATTTGTTGCCCTTAACACAGAGAAACTAAAGCAGATACCTTAAAAGCAACTGAGGCTAATAGGAAAAGGGGACCAGGAACTAGAGAAAAGGTTAGATCAAAAAGAATTAACCTAGAAGGTAACACACACGCACAGGAAATCAATGTGAGTCAATGCCCTGTATAGCTATCCTTATCTCAACCAGCAAAAACCCTTGTTCCTTCCTATTATAGTTTATACTCTCTCTACAACAAAATTAGAAATAAGGGCAAAATAGTTTCTGCTGGGTATTGAGGGGGTGGGGGGAGAGGAAGGGGGTGGAGTGGGTGGTAAGGGAGGGGGTGGGGGCAGGGGGGAGAAATGACCCAAGCCTTGTATGCACATATGAATAATAAAAGAAAAGAAAAAAAAGGAAACTCCTCCACTCTAGGAGCCAAGCACGTGCGTTCTAGAGCTGGAAACCTTCGTGCTAATACTCCTCTTAGCTCCCAAGAATTGTCTGGGTTTGTTGCTGACAGACCATGTCAGTGTCCTTGGGAATGCTGCTACAGGTGTGCTGGCTTGTTTGTTCACTTTCCTCTCCGTATAAGCCTGCAGAGGGAATCTCCCTGCAACGTCCTCAAAATAAGTGGAGCTGCAAGCCCTTCCACAAACACTGGGCTTTCTGAAGCATTATTACAAACAAATAATGAGCCAGCAAAAATCCTTGACCCAGAGATTGGGAGTTGGATGAATTGGGTACGAGTTGACTTTTTAAAAACTGTTATAGAGTTTGTGTGATGCATATAATATTATGCAGTAACTCTAAAACAGATGTTCACACTGCATTTTGTAAGGAAAGAAATTTTAATAGACATAGACCAATTTAAGCGGAGATAAGTCAGTTAAGGAAACAGAATTGGCTATGAGAGGCGGTATTATGAAGAGGAAACATGGCCTAGCTGTGTCCTTATTTATTAAGTGCAGAGCAATAAGAGCTGTGTAATTATTTTTCATAGCCTCTGTCATACATAAACTACTGGTGAGATGATCCCACTTCAGGAAAATTCTTACATGTAGACAGTTCTGTAATCAACCCCACATATGTCTTACTCACCTTCAAAAGTTAACAACCTAATGGTATCCACTATGTCCCTCCCATGTTCCTTTTCTTTTCATAAGTTTCAAGGGCATATTCCTCACTTGCTACTTCATTCCGTTGCATCAAAATTCCATTCTATGAAAGTATAATGTATGGACATTGAAAAATAATATGCTTTTGAATATTAATAACATTTTCATTGAATTTCAGCATCTTTTGAATAGAGCATTGGGAATTTCCACCTTATTTTTTAAATTAAAAAAATTTTAAATCTGCAACAAAGTTGAAAGAATAATAAATGAACTTTCAAATATCCTTTGCTTAACTACGTCAGCCATTAGCATCAGGACTGGCATTTCTCTAAGTGTATTTGTTCATGGGCTTCAGGCAAGGTTTTCTTATCTGTAAAGACAGTAATACATGGTGTTAGAACCAGGTAGTAGGTTCATATCCCACCTCCACCACATCCTGGCTGTGAGTCATAGGTGAGATCACTTACACTCACTCTCTTCATCTATCAAGTGGGAATAGTAATGGTGAACCCTGTGAGGGTCTGAAGACTTCTGGTGGGCTCTACACAAGTGTTTCCTGTCTCTCAGCTTCCTGTTGTAACCTGTGTTGCTTGGGGGCAACTGTTTGGGGAGAACCAGGCTTTACTGATTCAAATTCTTTGTGGTCAATATGGATGACCTTGCAGCTGAGAGAGTTGGCCTAGTGATTACGAGATAGGTGTGGGGGGAGAGTAGATTGGGCCTTAGCTCTGCCTTTCCCAGCTTTGGTACTTGGTTGAGTTGCTTGCCTCTCTGGAAAGTGGGAAATGAGAAGCATACCTCAACTGTGTTGTTGTTTGTTACCAGGAGAAAATGAGATGGGAGACTTGCCAAGCATTTCGTACAGTGTCAGCCTTGTAAATGCCCCATAAGCCTTGCTGGCCATCAGTACAATTACAAGGAAGGGTACAGTGTCAGAGTGCTGTCCCTGTTATCATTCAGTAAATGTTACTTATTCTAAGTAAACATGAAATGCACACCAAACTTGTCTTCGCAAGTCTAAGTGCACTTTACTGCCATGCAAGAGTAAAAATCACTTGAGAAAGCCTGCAGTGCAATTTCTGCTAAGTGTGGATGGGCACATGGCACATGGATACATGAGGAGCCATTATGGGATGTGATCACATGTGTGTCTTTGATGCCATTCAGTGATGTCCTAAAATAAGCCTTCCCTCACATTCCCATGCCAGACTGACCCCATGCCAGGGCTCCATATTCTTCTCACTGCTCAGGACTGACTTGCTTCTTCTTTCTCTCTTTTCTGAATCTCTCACTTATATTGTAGGTTGAAAGGATTGTGGACAAGAGGAAGAACAAGAAAGGAAAATGGGAGTATCTTATCCGATGGAAAGGATACGGGAGCACGGAGGACACGTGGGAGCCAGAGCACCACCTCCTGCACTGTGAGGAGTTCATTGATGAGTTCAATGGGCTGCACGTGAACAAGGACAAGCGTGTCAAGTCAGGGAAGCAGTCAGGCACCTCCAAGCTCCTGCGCGACACCCGGGGCCCGGTGGTGGAGAAACTCTCCCACAGGCCCTCAGAGCCTAGCAAGAGCAAAGGGACTTCCCACAAGCGGAAGCGAATCAACCCTCCCCTGTCCAAGCCCAAGAAGGGGTATTCAGGCAAGCCTCCTGGGGGTGGTGACAGAGCCGCCAAGACAGTGTCTTACAGGACTACCCCCAGTGGCTTGCAAATCATGCCCCTGAAGAAGGCCCAGAATGGCTTGGAAAATGGGGACGCTGGCTCTGAGAAGGAGGAGAGGCACTTTGGAAATGGATCCCACCAGCCAGACTTGGATTTGAACGACCATGATGGAGAGCGGGATGCAGGCGACTGTGATGGGGCCTCCTCCGCGCTGCTGGAGAATGGGCTTGGTTGGTGGCTTTTGTTTCTCTTGGGTTTGCTGTGGTCAGGGCGGATGGATTGCCCTGCAGTCTAGGGAAACACGTAAGATGTCCTATCCTTGACTCTTAGTTACCCAGCAAAGCTCCCTTCATCTCTCTCACTTAGGGCCAGGTGGGTGAAAGACACCATTGCGTTTGGGCATCTGGGGAGGCCAAGCCACTGATGTTGAGCAGAGGCCTGTAATGGGTGGAAATCCCTGACCATGCTGCATAGACACCCAAAGCCGTGGTTACTGAACACAGCTCAGAGACCTCACACCCTCGGGCTTAGGGCTTGTTAGAGGATCAGCACCTTCCCCAGGCTCATTGCTTATGGTCTCCTCATGCCTCCAGCAGTGTGATCCAGAGACATCTGACCAGGACCTGTTCTTCCTGCTTAGACCCACTATGCCCAGGGAGTTCACCAAACCAGCTCATCAGCTGGCATTTCTCACTTTTCAGTGTCACTAGGATAGATGGTGATTAGACCATTTCTAAATTAGGTCCTGTCTTAGTCCATACAGTCTGCTATAACAAAATGCCTGAGAATTTTATTTCTCATAGTTCTGGTGGCCAGAAGTCCAAGATCAAGTGCCAGTAGAGTTGGTGTCTGATAAAAACCATTCCTCATAGGTGGCATCTTCTAGCTGTGCCCTTACGTGGTGAAAGGGACAGGGCAGCTCCTTCCAGTGCCCTTTATAAAACCACTGATCCCATTTGTGCCCTTAGGACTTAATCACCTCCTAAAGGCCAGTCTCTTGATTCTACTGCAATGGGGGTTAGGTTTCAACCTGTGCATTTCCTGGGGCCACCAACATCCAGACCATAGCAGATCCTAAATATGACCCTGGCACCATCCTGTGCTAATTCTCTGGGTTTGCACCCTTTTACTCCATCCTGGAAGCAATACATCTTGTCTACCTTGTGATCCATTGTGGACTCCCTCCCTCCTGATGAGTCTCTACAGGCAGAGTTAAGGAAAGAGAAGGCAATGGGCCAGGTAATTCAAGCTCCCAAGCCTGCCATTTCCTTAGCAGGCAGACTGCTCCTCATCTGAGTCCTCAGAGGCCTGTGTTTTCCAGGTGAGCTGTCTCTGCCACTTATGTGCACTGCTTCGTTTCTCAGACACTCATGTGTCTACCTGTGGGCATTTTCCTCTCTAGCTGCCAGAGCCCTAAGCCTGGGGGTGTCATGCATGAGTAGCATGTGTCCAGTAGAGCAGGGCCATAAGACACTGGGCGGAGGTAGAGTTGAGTGTGGGAGCAGGGATGCTGGGATGTGGGGGGTGTGAAGCCAACAGACACTTGTGATGTTGGTGATTTGGGGTTCAGAGTGCTTGCAGTATGCTCTTCTGGGGAGAGCTGGCTATCTTAGGCACTATTGCTGGGGACTCTGAGTAATCACGTTGAGGTTTCCTTATTCTCCACAGAGGAGTTTTACCCAAACAGGATTTATTTAACCATCTTTGCCCCAACCTGTCTCACATTTCTGTTTGGGGATCCCTGATGCTGGTGGGATTGTGCCTGCTACCATATGTAAAAGCTGTTTTAAACACTCATCTCCTGGGGAGAAGTGGGCTGTGTAAATTAGGCTTGGCATAAACACCCATGTCTGATGTTCCTGTGACAGCTGCTGACAGTTGCAGAGCTCCCTGAGGTAGGAGGGTGGCAAGGGGAACATGGGAGGCCCTCAGGGTACAGGGGTATGATCTGGGAAAGATCCCAGCGGCTGTTAGAACCTGCCTGCCCTGCTCAAAACGTAGCTGCCCCCCAAGAATAAGGAGAAATGAAAGGACCATGGTGTGAAGGAGAGAAGAAGGTGGCCTCCTTTGTCCTGTACCACTAAAGTGAGGCAGAGCTGCAAGCCATTTGCTTTCCATCCTAGGGCCTCATCAGTGACACCCTGCTGATGGGGCAAGGTACCCCACCACCAGGGGAACAAGGTGAGGGCCAGCCTCTTGAGGTCTGTAGTTGTCTTGTTAACTCCACCATCTTATTCTAGACTTTTCTCCACTTGTCTTCCTCCTCTTTGTCTGATGCGTGTTCTCTTCTCCATTGGGCCCAGCTGGGATGGAGAGGAGGATGCTGCCGATCCAAAAGGGTCTTTTTGTTTCATTGCATCCCATGGGTTGTGCATGAGATCCGGTGTGGCTGAGGCAGTGGTTCTCACATTGCCTGTGTGTAAGATCCCTAGCGACAATGCAGAGCCTGTCGAGTCTGGGCACCAATTCTGGAGTGAGGCCCCAAAGATGGGCTTTTAACAGGCATGTTGGTGACTCTTCTCCATTTTGAGACATGTTCTGTGGCGAGATGGGTGCGGTGATGAAGTTTCACATCAGGTGTCAATGCAGTTGGATTCAGTGCTGATTTTTTGAGCACTTCCTGGATGACTGCCATGCTAGATGCTGGAGTAGACTGATGAAAAGATAAATGAGGACTTCTATGAAACCTACAGTCTGTTCCCCTGTTAAGTTGGAGTGGCTGCCTCTGGCTCCATGCTGGGAAGGCTCCTGAAGCTGACTCCAGGGAAGGAGTCATGTGTGTTACAGACATGGTGTGCCTTTGCTGTAACCACATTAATGTCTTCTGAGGTTACTGGCATGATAAATGTCCTAGCCCCTGTCATCCTTTAACATTCTAGTTAGAATTAGCTTGTTATCCAGGTCCAGGTGAGTTAGGGAGAGAAGAAGACTGAGAATCCTGGCCAGAGAGAGAAGGGTAATGTCTAAGAAAGTTGTTTGAGGTTCTTGCACAAGACCCAAGATGGAAGAAGTGTTGTAGTTCTAGAACGTTCCACCAAAGAGTTAGAGATATAGAGAGAACTCTTTGCTTGGGCTAGCTAGAAACCTTCATCCTCCTGATCTCTGCCTCCTGAGTAGCTAGGATTACAGGTGTGAGCCGCCTGCATGAGCTCAGAGGGAAGCTTTGATGATGACAGTGCTCGTGCCTAGTTAGAGCTCTGGGTGTCCTCTTCCTAGCTGCTATCCTAGCCCACCTTCCCTGACCTGGACCCACGGACCCAGTTTCCAGCATCCAGGGTTGAGACAGCAGAATTGCAGCAATACCAGGCTCCTCTGCCTTGCAGAAGGGGATGTGGGTCTCCTGACTGCACTACGTGGTGCATGCTTTGGGGGTGGGCTGTTGCTTTTTATATGGTGTAACTTCCTTTGATGAGCTAAGATTCTGCATACAGAGCAGCTCCTTATGTAACAGTTACTCACTTACCACTGACTTCCCTGGTCTCTACTGTGGGAACAAATGCTAAATCGGGGCCCTAGCGGGTGGTGTTTTGGTTTCAGACTGCATTGTCCCCAGCGATGTTTGAACTCAATGCCATTCTCAATTCTGATTCTTCTCAGGTTATGACAAATGACTTGTGGTCTAGAGACCATCTGCCTCCGTATCCCTTAGGGAACTTGTTAAAAATGGGCTCCACCCCATCAAGTGAGCTGGGATCTCAGGGGCCAGGGTGTGAGTCATGTTAGAATTCAAATACTGAATCCTAACAGCCCCGTGTGTAGACAGCAGCCCCTGCAGAGGTGTGTGGTTAGGAGTTACGGTTCCTGGATCTGTTGTTGGTAGATCCAGGTACTCCTTGGATGTCAAGCCTATAGGTAGGAATGTGGTTTGGTCCTTCGAAGTTTTAAAACCTGACTCCCTCACTGATGCACTTTCTACAAGGCTCCTTTTTCTTTTTTCCTAAAACATTCAGGTTTCATGCGTGTAGAGAAGCTACCAGATCAGTTAGCCCTTCTCTGTCCAGAACTGCTTGCTGGTCTTTTGTCTAACAAGGCCAAGTGTTGATGCTTTATAGACCCACATGGGCCTTAACCTGGGGGGACATCCCTAGTGAGGCTCCATCGTTCCCCTCCAGCCTTAGGATGACACTTAGACACCCAGAGTTCTCCAAGTGCCATGAACTCACAGGTCTGGGGCCCATGTCCACATTTCCTTGATTTCTGAGCCTCTGTTCCCTAATGACTTGATGGCTACATTCTGTCACCCAGGCCTTGCATCTCACATGTTCAGTTTTTTCAGCATTTTTCCTGCCATTGGATTAGTCACCTCATACAAGGCAACATTTGCTGTTTTCTTTTAAAATGACCTCAGCCTTCGCCTCTGGAATGTTTATCTCATCGTACTCTCTCTTTCAGGTGATTTTCATTTCCCTTTTTATTGATCACAATTGCGAGCCATGTTTTAAAAGCACTTCAGAAGTGAGGCATTGTGGTGCATAGCTATAATCCTAGCACTCAGGAGGCAGGAAGATCAAGAGTTCAAGGCTAGCCTGGGCTACAGAGCAAGACTCTGTCATTGAAGAAACAAAAAAAAAAAAGTGCTTCAGCATTAGTGCACATGTGTGAACACCATGTGACTCTGAGAACCTCGGCCTCTCGAGGGTAGAGCCGGCCTCAGCACTCTTGCAGGGTGGGTCAGACCACAGGTGTGGGGCAGAGCCTGAGCCTCTGGTTCCCATCTTGAGAACCACCATCCTAGACTGATAAGCTGCAGGTACTGAGATGAAAACGCAAGTGATTGTGAATGCCAGCTGGTTTCACAGGGACAGGTGAGGGGTTATTATGCCCTGATTCTTAAGTTTGCATAGATAAAACTTTGTAAGTGGAAGGTTTGTGAACTGAAAGGTTCTAAGCTGGAAGTTTTAGAAGATAGAAACTTCCCAGTGTGTGACTTTAAGTTTCAAAGCACATTCTGTGGGCGTCATGTTGGTTCTGAGAGGCAGCTGATGTTCTACCCGTTTTTACAGAGGTGGACTCTGATTGCAAGTGCCTAGACTGGGACCGGGTAATTTGACTCCAGCTTTGGCAGCTGAACCACTGCCCAGTTTGTTTCCGAACAGTGTAAAGCAATTCCTAAGCCCTGATTACTGACCAAAATATATTCTGAATTGGGAAGGTTCACTTCTCTGACACCCTCATTGCTTACTGACCACTGAAGGACATAAACCTTCTACTAGGGCAAATTCTATGCTGT